TGGTGGTTGCGGTGCTAGAGGAGGAGACTGAGGGCAATAAGGTGTTTGGCAGTCGGCAGACCATGGATGGAGTGTCGCTGTCGTTAGACACAGAGCTCGGATTGCGAGAAATAGGGCGGACAGGATTGCCGCCCAGTGGGCTGTTGCCATTAATCTGTCGAAATGGCGGACCGCCACGGCCACGCGTTGAACAGTTGACTACCGGCGGAGGCAACGGTGGAGCCGGTGGTATTACAGCAGGATACCGAGGCGGCAAACACTGGGAAACCTTCTGAAGACAAGCCTTGTGGGCTGCAATGCCAGTTTCTGGAGAAAAGTGAAAATAACGTTCAGCAAAATGATCAGCATGTCTGGAATAAGTTAGTGACAGAAAAAAGTCTCCGAAGGCGTGAATGCCGGTTAGACCATACACACAAAAACAACAACACACTCGAAACGCAACTCTAAACAGAAACAGTCGTGGAATTTAACATAAACATTGACAGTTACCGTGGTGTATGTATAGAAACGGTGTGCCTAGCGATCTAAGGGGCAACGGCAGCGTTAGTAGTGGACGCACAAAAGGGCTAAATAAAAGTCACGTGACAGTGATGCTTGACTGAATGAATAGCGGAAAGCAAAATGCTTCGTCTTAGCGCTCCAATGTGGAGTCCTCGCAGACGGTCCCAACTAATATAAAGGGGATACTTATTTTAAAAAAACTAACAAACAAATCATAATCTGGCTCGTTGTCAGTCGGATAAATCTCCACCAAAGCACGAAACACTGGTGATTGGAACCCAGATTCCATGGCAAAGCTGAGGCAGGATGTTCCCTCTCTCTTGTGTGTCCAATCGCAGGATGGGCGCAAGGACGATGTTAACTTGCTTATACTGATAGTAGAGCGGTAGTTATTATCGGAACGTTTCTATCGCAAGCTGCCAGACACAGCAGAAAGCAATGATAGCGGCATCCTCGATTAAAAGATTATTGCAGCGGCTGGATTTCCCTCGGTAGCCCTCTGGTCGTCCAAATCATGTGGAAAGACTATCTCGCGGTTATGCCTCCTACATCTTAAAGTCAGATACTGCAGTAAACCTGTAGTTAGCCTATAGATAGCAAACGGCATTGCGTTGCGACATGAAGTCATGGCGAAACTTGAGTTATTATTTAATATCGTTTCTTTAAGCCGGAAGATTATTATTATTTATCCCATACAGCATGCTCGGTGTCGACTTCCTACAAGCACACAGACAGATCGTATTATAGTATATTATTTACTGGTCTTAGGAAGAATGGTCACTAGAATTGGCAATCTTAGTTTAGGCAGCAGTATCCTAGTCCTCGTAGTCCAAAATGAGTAGAAACTACCACAGTCTGGTGGATAAATCTGAGTGAGTGGAAGCAAAGCAATGCCATGTTGTGCTCCAAGTTTCAAATATATACTTGCTGGGAATAGCATAGTCCAAGATTTACACTCCTTGTTGAGATTGAGGGGATATGAGCCCAGCGCGGACTGTAATCAGCGCTACTTCTGACTCATATTAGCGTCAGTAATAGTACCAGTACTACTACAGTTCAGCTAAACTGCTAGTTAGAAGTAGTAGAAATAGCAGTAGCTGTAGTAACAGTATAAGCCTTGGTTTCTATGAGTCTGTCTTGACACCTGCTGAAAGTGAGTGAGGGCAGACAGTGCGGTGGTACGAGCGCAAAAACCTACTGTCACTTAAAACTAAGTTAGGCGGTGTTCTGGCCTGCATAGGAGAAAGCGACCTAAGCCTAATTCCCCTCGGTCATCTTGACCCTGTCACGTCACCGGTTCAAGCGGATTGGGGGTTCAGAGTGCGGAAGACGGCTGTGCGTCAACGCATTTAAATCTCCCCCTACCGCTATCACCCCCCTTCCCTCCTGCTCCTGAGCACATGGTGGACTTCATCGAAATCGACGGTCGAAGAATCACTAGGACGATTATTATTATTATTATTATTAGTAGTAGTAGTAGTAGATATGGTGGTAGTAGCAGCAACAGTAGCACTAGATTTTTGGTTGATTGACAAGAGGTAGAGACTACAAATAATCAAACGTCATCTTTGGGGAATCAATGACAACAACTGAGCTTTTGTAAAGTGAAACATTTGAAACAGTAAAAAGGCGCAAAAAGCTGAAAAGTAAAGTGTGATCATATCAGTGGTGAATTTGGAGTAGACAAGTAGTTATTCAGAAGCAAGACGGACGAGACAACTCTAAACGCTAAAGGACCGGGTCTCCGGCAGTTGCTTCGTGCAATCAACGACAATCAGTGATGCGAGCATCTGAAATGCAAGCCAACACTGGTCCTATGAACATAGTAAAGTCACTTTAGTGACGATGTCAAGGCCAACGAGCGAGGTAACAGTATGTACTTTTTGACATAAATTAATGGCTGCAAGGTGCTTTCGTACTAGCAGGTTTGAGTCTTGAAAGGAACAAGCATTTATACATGGTGCCAAATGAAGCCCAAATCAAACGTAAGTTAAAAATTAAGGAAAAAAGAGGGGCAAGGAAGAATGGTCACAAAACTAACCTCTGCAGCGGTAGCCTTGGTAGAAACAGCCCTGAAGAAGCTTTCTGCAAATGTAGCAATAGGTGGTTTGTTTAAAGGTGTTCATTTCAAAATGGTAACCATTGTCCCTGGCACCAGGCGGAAAGAGATTGTCTCTACAAGAAAGCGACCAAAAAAGACGATGAACCGCAGGAGGTTTAGGCAGGGGGGAAACTAAGACAAATATTAGAAAAGGGTATAGCAGAAGGGAAAGGCAACTGACTACTTAAGAATGGAACTGAATGACCAAATACGAGTAGAAAGGCTATATTAAATTTCAACAACCAGGTTAAGCCACTACTTAACGCCGAGTGGTCAGGTTACGTTCGATAGAGGAGTAGAATCAGGTTATATACGGGACCGGGTCAAAAGTAAAAGTACCCTTGCCCCTAACAGATCAATGGGATCGAAGTAAAAGGAAGGAAACCGTCAATTCATTCAGTCATTCATCTGCCAACAACAAAGGCTACGAGGCAACCCAGAGGAAAGTTGCGAAATGCCAACGAGCCAACCTACACCTGGCGGTGCACATTCAGGATCTGGACCCCCCCTCCTCCCTCGAGGAAATTCCTGGCCACATTTTACAGAACAAAATCTAAATAGCGGATAAGTCCTGACTCGACTCCTTGAAACATTCCAACCACATACACGGTGCCACCTGCGTTCAGAAAACTGGACTTAGGACCAACGAACCGAGATGGCCAACCGAATTCAACGGAAGGCTGAATTATGTCGCATTCCCGTGGCACCTCTTTTCGTTGCAAGACAGTTTGCCCATCGCAATTGACAATAGTCGTTTTAACCAGATTCATGCTTGATATTGACAGACGAATGCTTAATAAGTCTGTAGTCCCCAGTGTATCTTGAAGTAGGAACTGCGTTGGGGGTCTGGGTAGTATTGATATTCATCGCTAAGCAATAATGAGCGTGGACGGGTTACAGGGTGCTGTAGTAGTGGACCGCTAACGGAACTCACCTGTCCCGTTCTACCTTGGCTCGTGGCTCAATGGTTAGGATGTTTGACTCTGATCAAAAAGGTCGCGAGATCAAGGTTCGGGTGGGGCACCACTTGGGTCTGGATATGACTGGCTGATGACGGCTAATAAGCCAGAAATGGCCATTCAAGTCTCCCTGGTCTTTGTAGGCAATACTACCTGCCTACTATCGACTGTTACGGATGTCAGGGCCTCCGTTGAGGCCCAAAACAGAGCGGGACAAATGAGTTTCGTTAGCGGTGAGGTGAAGGTTCGTCAAGGAGGACAGGGGGAGGGGGGTGTCTGTCACACAGCAGAAAAGCAACTGGTTATGGAAAGACCACAACAGATCAGCCAGTCATCTGTGTTCACGAGGTACTGGGGGAATTGAGGCAAAAGATGTTTACTGCGCAAGGAAGCAATTAAAAAAGCATTCACATACCACATACGACGCCCCACCGAGATAGGCATGTACTGGGCTGGCCTCCAACAGTACTAGTCTCGCATACAAACGGCTGCTTTTTGGTTTGCAAACTTCCGTTCTGGTGACAGGTTAATTAGTGGAAACTGCAGGAGGCCACGGGGAGTAAGAATGACGTTCGCTCAGGGTGCGGACAGATGGCTCGCGCCCGCTGTACGCTGCAAAATTGTGGTAGACGTTGGCTACTTGATCGTATACCTTCTCTGCCCTCTCCTCCCCCTCGGTCCCTGAAGTCAAAATATGGCTGGCCGTGTGCCAAAAGGCCAGTCTGATCTGGTCTGCATTCCGAACCGCTTTTTAGCCTTCGAATGACTTACAAATGGCTTACAAAACTTGCATTGAGCCGCCCCGTTGGCTCTTTCCGCTCGTCCATAACACACATGTTCTATCCACTGTCCCTCAGCATGAAAAACCGTTGATCCAGCATGCGATAAGCGGCCCATTCTGTAACCCTCTCCCTCGGCCGCCCTGCGATACATCCAGCAGTGTAGTTCATGTTAGATGGGTTTGGCAGAGTGTGTACATTGTAATAAAGGAGACTTTCTTATTAAGCTAGGCTAAATAAAAAGACAAGTTGCACTGTTATCGGAGGTTCAGCGGAGGGTAAAACCGATCTACCCCTACTGCCCACCCCGTGCTCGAAGTCTGAACAATCGCAACTGTCAACGGTCAAGGGCCCCT